CACCACCCCTAGTTCATTTCCCAGAGTTAGAAGTCTTTATGTTCTGTGTCCCTTTCTGATATCTCCCACACATTTCTTCTCCCTTCCCTTATATTCCCCTTCACTATTATTCATATTCCCCAAATAAGTGAGAACATACACTGTTTGTCCTTCTCCGATTGACTTACTTCACTCAGCATAATACCCTCCAGTTCCATCCACGTTGAAGCAAATGGTGGGTATTTGTTGTTTCTAATGGCTGAGTAATATTCCATTGTATACATAAACCACATCTTCTTTATCCATTCATCTTTCGATGGGCACCGAGGCTCCTTCCACAGTTTGGCTATTGTGGACATGGCTGCTAGAAACATCGGGGTGCAGGTGCCCCGGCGTTTCATTGCATCTGAATCTTCGGGGTAAATCCCTAACAGTGCAATTGCTGGGTCGTAGGGCAGGTCTATTTTTAATTCTTTGAGGAACCTCCACACAGTTTTCCAGAGTGGCTGCACCAGTTCACATTCCCACCAACAGTGTAAGAGGGTTCCCTTTTCTCCGCATCCTCTCCAACATTTGTTGTTTCCTGCCTTGTTAATTTTCCCCATTCTCACTGGTGTGAGGTGGTATCTCATTGTGGTTTTGATTTGTATTTCCCTGATGGCAAGTGATGCAGAGCATTTTCTCATGTGCATGTTGGCCATGTCTATGTCTTCCTCTGTGAGATTTCTCTTCATGTCTTTTGCCCATTTCATGATTGGATTGTTTGTTTCTTTGGTGTTGAGTTTAATAAGTTCTTTATAGATTTTGGAAACTAGCCCTTTATCTGATATGTTATTTGCAAATATCTTCTCCCATTCTGTAGGTTGTCTTTGAGTTTTGTTGACTGTATCCTTTGCTGTGCAAAAGCTTCTTATCTTGATGAAGTCCCAATAGTTCATTTTTGCTTTTGTTTCTTTTGTTTTCGTGGATGTATCTTGCAAGAAGTTACTGTGGCCAAGTTCAAAAAGGGTGTTGCCTGTGTTCTCCTCTAGGATTTTGATGGAGTCTTGTCTCACATTTAAATCTTTCATCCATTTTGAGTTTATCTTTGTGTATGGTGCAAGAGAGTGGTCTAGTTTCATTCTTCTGCATGTGGATGACCAATTTTCCCAGCACCATTTATTGAAGAGACTGTCTTTCTTCCAGTGGATCGTCTTTCCTCCTTTGTCGAATATTAGTTGACCATAAAGTTCAGGGTCCATTTCTGGATTCTCTATTCTGTTCCATTGGTCTATGTGTCTGTTTTTGTGCCAGTACCACACTGTCTTGATGACCACAGCTTTGTAGTACAACCTGAAATCTGGCATTGTGATGCCCCCAGCTATGGTTTTCTTTTTTAAAATTCCCCTGGCTATTCGGGGTCTTTTCTGATTCCACACAAATCTTAAAATAATTTGTTCTAAGTCTCTGAAAAAAGTCCATGGTATTTTGATAGGGATTGCATTGAACGTGTAAATTGCCCTGGGTAGCATTGACATTTTCACAATATTAATTCTGCCAATCCATGAGCATGGAATATTTTTCCATCTCTTTGTGTCTTCCTCAATTTCTTTCAGAAGTGTTCTATAGTTTTTAGGGTATAGATCCTTTACCTCTTTGGTTAGGTTTATTCCTAGGTATCTTATGCTTTTGGGTGCAATTGTAAATGGGATTGACTCCTTAATTTCTCTTTCTTCAGTCTCATTGTTAGTGTATAGGAATGCCATTGATTTCTGGGCATTGATTTTGTATCCTGCCACGCTACCAAATTGCTGTATGAGTTCTAGCAATCTTGGGGTGGAGGCTTTTGGGTTTTCTATGTAGAGTATCATGTCATCGGCGAAGAGGGAGAGTTTGACTTCTTCTTTGCCAATTTGAATGCCTTTAATGTCTTTTTGTTGTCTGATTGCTGAGGCTAGGACTTCCAATACTATGTTGAATAGCAGTGGTGAGAGTGGACATCCCTGTCTGGTTCCTGATCTTAGGGGAAAGGCTCCCAGTGCTTCCCCATTGAGAATGATATTTGCTGTGGGCTTTTCGTAGATGGCTTTTAAGATATCGAGGAAAGTTCCCTCTATCCCTACACTCTGAAGAGTTTTAATCAGGAATGGATGCTGTATTTTGTCAAATGCTTTCTCTGCATCTAATGAGAGGATCATATGGTTCTTGGTTTTTCTCTTGCTGATATGATGAATCACATTGATTGTTTTACGAGTGTTGAACCAGCCTTGCATCCCGGGGATAAATCCTACTTGGTCATGGTGAATAATTTTCTTAATGTGTTGTTGGATCCTATTGGCTAGTATCTTGTTGAGAATTTTTGCATCCATGTTCATCAGGGATATTGGTCTGTAATTCTCCTTTTTGGTGGGGTCTTTGTCTGGTTTTGGAATTAAGGTGATGCTGGCCTCATAGAATGAGTTTGGAAGTACTCCATCTCTTTCTATCTTTCCAAATAGCTTTAGTAGAATAGGTATGATTTCTTCTTTAAACGTTTGATAGAATTCCCCTGGGAAGCCATCTGGCCCTGGACTCTTGTGTCTTGGGAGGTTTTTGATGACTTCTTCAATTTCCTCCCTGGTTATTGGCCTGTTCAGGTTTTCTATTTCTTCCTGCTCCAGTTTTGGTAGTTTGTGGCTTTCCAGGAATGCGTCCATTTCTTCTAGATTGCCTAATTTATTGGCGTAGAGCTGTTCATAGTATGTTTTTAAAATCGTTTGTATTTCCTTGGTGTTGGTAGTGATCTCTCCTTTCTCATTCATGATTTTATTAATTTGAGTCTTCTCTCTCTTCTTTTTAATAAGGTTGGCTAATGGTTTATCTATCTTATTAATTCTTTCAAAGAACCAACTCCTGGTTCTATTGATCTGTTCCACAGTTCTTCTGGTCTCAATTTCGTTGAGTTCTGCTCGAATTTTAATTAACTCTCTTCTTCTGCTGGGCGTCGGGTCGATTTGCTGCTTCTTCTCTAGCTCCTTTATGTGTAAGGTTAGCTTTTGTATTTGAGTTCTTTCCAGTTTTTGAATGGATGCTTGTATTGCGATGTATTTCCCCCTCAGGACTGCTTTTGCTGCATCCCAAAGATTTTGAACAGTTGTATCTTCATTCTCATTAGTTTCCATGAATCTTTTTAATTCTTCCTTAATTTCCTGGTTGACCCTTTTATCTTTTAGCAGGATGGTCCTTAACCTCCACGTGTTTGAGGTCCTTCCAAACTTCTTCTTGTGATTGAGTTCTAATTTCAAGGCGTTATGGTCTGAGAATATGCAGGGGACGATCCCAATCTTTTGGTATCGGTTCAGACCCGATTTGTGACCCAGTATGTGGTCTATTCTGGAAAAAGTTCCATGTGCACTTGAGAAGAATGTGTATTCAGTTGAGTTTGGATGTAAAGTTCTGTAGATATCTGTGAAATCTATCTGGTCCAGTGTATCATTTAAAGCTCTCGTTTCTTTGGAGATGTTGTGTTTAGAAGACCTATCAAGGGTAGAGAGAGCTAGATTGAAGTCACCAAGTATAAGTGTATTATTATCTAAGTATTTCTTTACTTTGGTTAATAATTCGTTTAAGTATTTGGCAGCTCCCACATTCGGGGCATATATATTGAGGATTGTTAAGTCCTCTTGTTGGATAGATCCTTTAAGTATGATATAGTGTCCCTCTTCGTCTCTCACTACTGTCTTCGGAGTGAATTTTAGTTTATCTGATATAAGGATGGCTACCCCTGCTTTCTTTTGAGAACCATTTGAATGGTAAATGGTTCTCCAACCTTTTATTTTCAGGTTGTAGGTGTCCTTCTGTCTAAAATGAGTCTCTTGTAGACAGCAAATAGATGGGTCCTGCTTTTTTATCCAGTCTGAAACCCTGCGCCTTTTGATGGGGTCATTAAGCCCGTTCACGTTCAGAGTTACTATTGACAGATATGAGTTTAGTGTCATCATGATATCTATTTAGTCCTTGTTTTTGTGGATTGTTCCACTGAACTTCTTCTTAAAGGGGAATTTTAAGAGTCCCCCTTAAAATTTCTTGCAGAGCTGGTTTGGAGGTCACATATTCTTTCAGTTCCTGCCTGTCTTGGAAGCTCTTTATCTCTCCTTCCATTTTGAATGAGAGCCTTGCTGGATAAAGTATTCTTGGTTGCATGTTCTTCTCATTTAGGACCCTGAATATATCCTGCCAGCCCTTTCTGGCCTGCCAGGTCTCTGTGGAGAGGTCTGCTGTTACCCTAATATTCCTCCCCATGAAAGTCAGGGACTTCTTGTCTCTTGCTGCTTTAAGGATCTTCTCTTTATCTTTGGAATTTGCAAGCTTCACTATTAGATGTCGAGGTGTTGAACGGTTTTTATTGATTTTAGGGGGGGATCTCTCTATTTCCAGGATCTGAATGCCTGTTTCCCTTCCCAGATTGGGAAAGTTTTCAGCTAGGATTTGTTCAAATACATATTCTGGCCCTCTGTCCCTTTCGGCGCCCTCGGGAACCCCAATTAAACGTAGATTTTTCTTCCTTAGAGTGTCATTTATTTCCCTTAATCTGTCTTCATGGCTCTTTAATTGTTTATCTCTTTTTTCCTCAGTTTCCCTCTTTGCCATTAACTTGTCTTCTATGTCACTCACTCGTTCTTCCACCTCGTTAACCCTCGTCGTTAGGACTTCTAGTTTGGATTGCATCTCATTCAGTTGATTTTTAATTTCTGCCTGATTGGATCTAAATTCTGCAGTCATGAAGTCTCGTGAGTCCTTAATGCTTTTTTCTAGAGCCACCAGTAGCTGTATAATAGTGCTTCTGAATTGGCTTTCTGACATTGAATTGTAATCCAGATTTTGTAGCTCTGTGGGAGAGAGGGCTGTTTCTGATTCTTTCTTTTGAGGTGAGGTTTTCCTTCTAGTCATTTTGCTCAGTGCGGAGTGGCCAAAAACAAGTTGTATTGGGAGAATGAGAGAAAGAGAGAGAAGGAAAGAAAAGAGAAAAAGAAAAAGAAAAGAAAAGAAAAAGGAAAGAAGAGAAGAAAAAGGGAAAGAAAAAGAAAGAAAGGTGAAAAAAAAAAGGGGGTGGGGGAAGCAATCAGAAATCAAAAAGAAAAGAAAAAAGAAAAGAAAAAAAAAAAACACGGGGGAGTATTTCTGTAGACTTTAAGTCCCTTGACTTCCCCTGGAGCTGGTCCGTCCAGCTGGTCTTCTGGGGGAGGGGCCTGTTGCGCTGATTTTCAGGTGTTAGCACTTGGGGGAGCTGCTCTGCCCCTGCCTGCTCAGCGGCAGTTGCTATGGCAACTCTGGAAGCCTGGATTCAGTCTCCGCAGGAACTACGGGGCTCGGGGCTCTCGGCTCTCCGTCCGCAGGGCCTGGAGGCTCCGGGGCGGGGCCGCTGATCTGCTCAGCTCGGGGCAGGAGCGTCCTTGCTGTCCTGGGCCCTCCCGGCCTCTGCCTGTCCCAGGGGGAGGCCGGATCCTGGGCTGTGTCCCGGCGCCCTGTGCTCCCGGGCCTGTGTTGTTGGATTTGCGCTCCCGCCCCGCAGCTCCCTCCCTGGAGCCGCTCCCGAGCCCCTCCGAACTGCTCCGGTGCGTGCTGCAGCCCTTAGGGAGCTCGGAGCACTCTCCTGCGCTTGCAGGTGCCTGTTAGTGTCCCCGGAAGCCCGAGGGCATCCCCGCCCTCCTGGGTCCTGCTCCAACTCCCTGCGAGCCCCTTTCCGCCCGCCCGGGAAGGTTGGTGCAGCTCCTGCTCCTCCGGGACGGGGCTCTCCTGTCCTGGGGACACTCGCCCCGGCCTCAGCCCGGCTCCTCCGGGGCCCCTCCCCCTCGGAGGCCTTTTGTTTCTTTATTTCTTTTCCCCGTCTTCCTACCTTGATAGAAGCGTGAACTCCTCTCACTGTAGCATTCCAGCTGGTCTCTCTTTAAATCTCAGGCCGAATTCGTAGATTTTCAGGATGGTTTGAAGGTTATCTAGGGAATTTGGTGGGAACAGGTGATTTGGGGACCCTACTCCTCCGCCATCTTGCCCCTCCTCTAAATTCAATTTTCAACATATAGTATAACACCAGTGCTCATCTCATCAAGTGCCCTCTTCAAGGCCCACCACCCAGTCACCCCATTTCCCTACTCGCCCCTCTGCAACCCTTTGTTTCCCAGAGTCAGTAGTCTCTCATGGTTTGTCTCCCTCTCTAATTTTCCCCACTCAGTTCCCCTCCTTTCTTTCCCTTATTATCACTTTCACTATTTCTTATATTCCCTGTATGAATGTAAGGTGTCAGGATGGCTCAGGCAGGGTGTTCTTCGAGGAGAGAGGGAGGTGAGGGGGCAGGGAGAGGTGGGAATGAGAACAGACACAGTGCCTCAGCTACTGTGTTCATACAGGGGCACCTCGCTGAATGGGGAAAGGACAGGGCTTTGGCGAGGGAAAGAGGAGGGTATTTCAGGTCTACAGAGAACTAAACAGGTCTGCCGAGAACAAAAACAAAGATCAGGAAGAGAAATCTGACCACTGGCCCCAAACACTAGGGTTGAAATGTGGGATGGTAGTTACATTGTGACCACAGGAAACAGAAAATGACCACAAAGAAAAATGACCAGGCCTCAATGGAGAAGTTAAGCATTAAAGATGTTAAATCCTTGCTCAACAGAATAGGTCATGGAGTTCCAGGGCAGCAAGTTTCCTGGCCAGTTTTAAATAAAAGAGTGCCAATAAAAGCCCTCAGTGGCAACACATTTGGGACTCCTCTTGCTCCAGAGAGCTTTTGGTTTCTCTGTTCTCACCTTCACTTAATAAATTATCACTTCACCCTTCTGTGTCTGCAAGATTCATTCTTTGACTCCATGAGACAAGAACCCTGTAATGTCATCACTCATCATTTCATTCAAGAAGCTTTGCTATATGCACCATGCCCACCTTTCCATGCCCATCTCCCTCAGCCCACGGATACTATTTTCAAGTTCAGCCAGCTCAGAACAATCTCTCTCTCAGGAGGATGCTCTGCATTTATCTCATGCCTGTGCCTTTTTTCACACTTGTTCCCCCCCCACCACCACCCAGTCACACCCAATCTATCGCAGCCTCCTCCAATCCTATTCATTCTGCAAAAAGTCATTGCAAATCTACCCAAACCCTTTATTTCCGATCCCCTATCCAGATATAACAAGACGTCAACTGGATTATTTTTTACAGCTATGTGAGAAAATGCTTGGCTAAACTCCTTGAGACATAGGGCACAATCCCAAGAAACAAAATGATGGTTATCCTGTTCTTTCAAAGAAAGGAAAGAGAAAGATTTCTAGTAAGAGATGAGATAAAGGCCTTGCAGGGAAGCTGCCAGTGGAGATATCAGGTGGCTGCATAGCCACAGATATTTTAAGAATGGAGAAAACCAACTGAAGATTAAAGTTGCTTACATGGTGTGAGAGTTGGTTTTTATGGCAACTTGACTAAGTTCTGGTATCCCCGCTATTAACCAAACACTAGTCTAGGTGTTGCTGTGAAGGTATCTTGTAAATGTGGATAACATCTATAATCAGCTGACTTTAAATAAAGGAGATTACTTTTATTAGTGTGGTTGGGCTTTATCCAATCAGTTGAAGGCTTTAAGAACAAAAACAGGTTTCCTGGAAAAGAAATCCTGTCTCAAGATTGCAAAATTAAGTCCTGCCTGGGCTCCAGCCTGTGTGTGTGTGTGTGTGTGTGTGTGTATATACACACACACACAATGTATATACATATATATGCTATATTTATATATATATATAAATATATAAATATATTATATATAAATATATTACATACAAATACATATACTATATATATGTATATATATATAACATAGGGAACCTGAAAGAACTCTAGTTTAGAAAGTCTCCATCTCTTCTGGTTTTCTGTTAGGCCTCATTTATTCATGTTCTATATTTTGCTTCTGAATAAGCCAAAGAAGCTATGCTCCCACTTCAAGGAGAGAAAAAAGGAAGTTAATCATTCTCTGAGTCTTGTCATAGACCCTGATACCCAGTAACATCTAAGAAGAGATGGATCCCAAACACATTCCAGGACATTAGCTTTGAACAAACCCTAGCTGACACTAGCATCAATATCCCCTACCTACAGTGATTTATGGGTTGACACCTATTGTTCACCTGACACTCACCTTCAATCAGACTCTATACTGGATTCCTGAAGGAACACATACCCTGAGCCCCTTTCTAATATAAATCCCTAACTCAACACAATGATGATATGTATTCTCCTTTCCCATCCAAGTCTCCCAGACTCTCCATCTGCTATTCTTTACCTGTCACCCAAGTTATTCAGTAAACTCTGCTTTCACCTTCTCTGGCCCATGTTTGATTTCTAACCTGCATGAAGTCAAGGATCCTCTTGGTTAGTCCTATGGGATGCTCTTCCACATCCTGGGACCCAGCCTACCTCCATCATATACAATGTATGTATATTTACTATGTATAATTGCACACATACGTATGTAACATTTATACACATGCAAATATAATATGCACAAGTGTATATACTTTTATATTTACATATGACATATATACATATGCAATCAACCCTTATTATTGGTGATTTTGTGTTAACTAATTTGCCTACTCACTAAAATTATTAGTAACCCCCAAACCAATACTCAAGATGGTTTTGCAATCACTCACAGATGTCGTGCACAGAATAATGAAAAGTCTAAGTTGCCCAATGTGCACATTTTCATCTGAGGTCAAACAGGCAAATCTCTGCCTTCTTTTAGCTCTCACAACTGTAAATAAATATCCTTTTAATGTTCGAGTTAGTATCATATTTTTGTGCTTTTTGTTGATTTTTCTGTTTAAAATGCCCCCCACCCTCCCCAGCAGAGAGATAAAGTGCTGTCTTATGTTTCCAAGTTCAGGGAGGCTATGATATGCCTTGTGGAGAAAAAACATGTGTTAGGCATGAGTTGAGTTCAGGGTTAATGATTCTGATGTTATTGAATAAGGTGTCTTTAGAATAGAAACACACATGAAACAAGGTTATGTGTTGATCATTGAGGAAAATGTTGCCAGGAGTGGCTCCAGGAACCCAATCTTGTATTTCCTCTAGGACCAACGGTTCAGTACTTGCTAATTCAGTGTTTGCAGGAACTAACAGAACATAACCACTGTGATTTGTGAATAACAAGAGTCAACTCTAAGTACATATGCATAAATATATGTGTAGATCTATATAACTATCTTTTATTGGTTCTACTTCTCTGAAGAACCCTGGTTGATACACATGGCTACCATCACCAATTGTCCTCAGTGTTCCCAGGAAAAACTGGTAGAGGATGGAGGAAGCAAGAGAGAGAATGGGAAGCCAGGCACAGAAGCAATTTCAGAAGAAGTCCCCTCCCTCTGTCACTGGCTGTAGTCTCTCCATAGTACATAAATGCCCATGTACTTTTCACCCTGGTGGAATGCAGGGCCAAGCCTGCTGGAGTGAAGTAGCTTCAAGCTAGAGGATATAGAAGGAAGTGACCAATAGCTCTCAAGATGACACCAGAAAAAAGGGAATCACCCTCTGTCTTTGTAAACCTCACCCCTAGCACCTTGACAAGTGCCTGGTGTAAATGCTAAATAAATGCTGAACACATAAATGATCCATCCTGCTGCATCTCACTCAGATTCGCATGTATAAACAAGGCACAAAATTCACCATTCTCAGGACTACTTTTTCATGTTTCTCTAGATCACAGCTGTTGAAAATATTCGTGACAGGGTAAAGTTTTGAAAATATCTTCATGGCTACTTGACAGATAATTTCTTTTATAGAACTATATGATAAAATTAAAGTTTAGTCTTTTGCCAGAAAATTTTGACAGCTTATCCTAACAAGACAGGGAAGAAGCCATACATGATCAATACAACTTAGAGAAATACAAAATGTACACTGCCAAATCAGAAAACCCTTCCAATCTCTCTCTCACTCTCTCGGTCTTTCTTCTCCTTTCACATGTGTGCAGACGCACACACACACACGAAAAGTTACTATTTTTATAAAAAATTTTCTACACTCACCATGAAATTCAAATGTAAGTAGGTAAATAAATAAATATCAAGATATCAGGCCAATCTGATATTAAGTGCTATTAAGTGTAGTTTTCTATAAGGTGTCTACAAAGTAGAGAAAGAGATTTGTGTGTAAAATGCGATATATATAGGGATAGCATCTAGAGTGATACCTGCCTTTTGGAAGAGTCACAGAGCACAGAAGTCGTGCTGCTTCTTCAAATGCTGTGGATACATTTTGGGGCAGGCAATAAGAGCTAGGTTACTCCATCAGGCGGTGGAGCTGCTCAACTCTCAGGGATAAGTCCCTATCACCAATAGAATCTGATCCTAACTCCTTAGCATAGCAGGTAAGATCTTTCACCAGTGGTCCCCAACCTGTGTCTCCAGGTATGTTTCCTGTCCCTCTCCCACTCAATAGAGCTCACAATGGGGCCACCCAAATTATTCATGCTTCCTCCAGGGGAATGTGCCATGCTCCGGCATGCCTGTGTATCTTTCTCCTTCTTGTTTCTTCTGCCAGGCATATCCTTGCCCTTATGGCAAACTCTTACTCATTCTTCAGAAACCACCTCAAATAAGCTGTGAAGCAACCCCTGATCCTCTTACTTCCAAGTAAGTAAGTCAAGTTTACCTCTGTGCTCCCACAGTTCCTTGCATATCCCACCTGGTGGAACTTTTATCATATTGCATTTTAACTATATGGTGTCTGAGTTCTCTAAGGACTATATCTTATTTATCTTTGTTTCTTTTTGCACTGCACAGGACAAGTTTTCAACAAATTAATCATGGATAACTACTATTTTAGTAACAGTGATGATATGAAATCTTTGGACAACTGTAGATAGTAGGTGGATTATTTGTTATTTTAAGGATACTTAAGAGCACAATCGTGCAAATAAATAAAAATCAATGGCAATCAATCA